TCGAAAATTGAGCAAAGACATTAAATATATGATCGACTACAATATTTAATTTCATCTATAAATACAGAAATCCATATGAATATTTTTTTAACTCGAAACGGGATTGGGTGACATTACTAATCTATGAATCAAATCAAAAAGGAATAAGCAACTTTTATAACAATGAAAGTGTAACATGATACTACAGATCAATTCCCTTATTAACACAAGTTTTACAATATTACATAATAGATTTTCTTGACCTTTTCTTTTTTACTTTTAGCTCGTTACAATATTTGATAAGAAGGAAATTGCGAAACCTACTTATTTCACATAATTCACCCGTGAATCCATCGCTGCAAAAGCACGTAAAGTCGTTAACCCGATCGTTGCAAGAGCCATTTAGACACGGGTTAGAACTACATTCGTTGATATCTTTAAAAAGGCAAACAATCGAAAAATTATCTTACACGACACTCATCCGATTTCCAGTTAACTTACCTAAACAATATTATGGTCTTTAAATCGATTAAAGACACCATGGTCCAGATATTTGGAATGCTTTACCTGACAATATTAAACACTCTTCATCTCTTTATCCATTCAAAGCCTCCATAAAAAAACATTTAATATCTACATATTCACAAACATTATAAGGGTCTTGGTGATTTTAATTGTTTGTTTATATAAATCAATTTTAGATGACCAGTTTATGAACAATTCAAATCGAACAATTACTTCACCTGCACACACTTACTTGCCCATAATTGCAATTTGTTTACTTTCTTTACTTTCTTTCCACTATTATTTAGATACTTTCTGGACAAAATCTGTATACGTAACACTCTATTCTCCTATCATACTCCTATCTACAATACTCAGTTTCGTCTATAAATACATCAATCCAAAACGTTACAAAAATGTATATCAATAGAGAGAGAGGGGGAGTGGGAGTGTACGCCGAATTCAGGAACGTACATATCTTTATGTTTTATTCGAAAAGTGTATTCATAGCTTTATTAGAGTTTTAAAGCTGTTTAAGGTAATACAGAGTTTTGGTATGGGTCATGAATTTGGTTCAAATAAACATATTGGAAGCATATGCGACCCTACAATATTCAGTGATTGTTGTCGCGGTTGAAATCGAAAATGTAAATAATAAACCCTTTATGTTTTATAGCTCCCTCTCAAGTTCAGAAATTGATTTAGCTATAAAACAATGTTTCTTGACTAAAATCTACCAATTGGCCATTCCCGTTTGGGAATTAGATATTTCAACTGCATATTCTTAGATTTGCATGGTCGCAACTACCATTGTATGGACGTAGGCGCTATTTAAAATGTATCAAAATTTACCGGAAGCACCGTTATTATAATGTTTTTTTTCGAAAGCAGAAGTGTTTTAGGGGCTGAATATTTTCATTCTTATAATATATCCACAGGGGCATCCAAATACATCAAAATTGTAAAGAATCACTATCCAGCCAATTTTGTCAAAATTTCCCAAAACTTTGTAATTTGTAAATATTTCTTCAATTTGAAACGGGATTGGATGCCATTACAAATCCATGAATCAAATAAAAATGCATAGGCAACTTTAAAAAAAAAATTGCTACTGGCCACTTCCCTCATTAATTTAAAAAAATTATATTACATAATAGATTACTTAACCTCTTTTCTTTAGCTCATTACAATATTTGGTTACAATGAATTGCAAACCTACTTGTTTCACAGTCTGTGCCCGTGAATCCATCGCTGCAAAAGCACGTAAAGCCGTTAACCCGATCGTTGCAAGTGCCATCATTTAGACACGGGTTAGAACTACACTCGTTGATATCTTTAAAAAAGGCAAACAATCGAAATTCAAAGCAAAGATTATGAATATAATTATGATCGGCTACAATATTTAATTTAGTCCATGACATTACACATCCATAAATCAAATTAAAAAATATATAATTATTTTTTTCGAACAATATTAATATAATATAACGCTACAGATCACTTCCCTCATTCGTAAAATTTTATCAATATTACATTATAGATTTCCTTGATCTTTGTAAGCCAATTACAATATTTGATTACAATGAATTGCAAACCTACTTGTTTCACATCGTGTGCCCGTGAATCCATCGCTGCAAGAGCACGTAAAGCCGTTAACCCGATTGTTGCAAGAGCCATCATTTAGACACGGGTTAGAACTACACTCGTTGATATCTTTAAAATAAGCAAACAAACGAATATTTGAGCAAACACATTGAATATATGATCGGCTACAATATATAATTTCCTCTATAAATACATCAATCCGAAATGTGAACTCTGAAGTATAAAAAAATATGTATATTAATAGAGATAGATAGGGAGGGTGGAAGTATCTGTACAATTCAGGAACGTACATATCTTTATTATTTTTTTCGAAGAGTGTATAATAGCTTTATCAGAGTTTTTAAGCTGTTAAGTAATTAAGCTACAGATAGAAATATTTATTTAACTTGAAACGGAATTGAGGGAAATAACGAATCCATTAACCGAATGATAAACGAATAAGCAACTTTTAAAACAATACAAATTGAACATGATGCTACAGATCACTTCTCTCATTTATGAAAGTTTTCAATATTACATTATAGATTTCCTTTACTTATTTTTAGCCAATTACAATATTTGATTACAATTAAAATGCAAAACATACTTGTTTCACATATTGTGCCCGTAAATCCAGCAATGCAAATGCACATATACTCGTTAGCCCCGTCGACGCAAGAGCCTTGTAGACACGGGCTAGAACTACACTCGTTGATATCTTTTAAAAGGAAAACAAACGAAATTTAGAACGAAGACATTCAATATATGATCGGCTACGATATTCAATTTCGTCTATAAATACATCAATCAAAAACATGAACTCTGAAGTATACACAGATATATTTATAGAAAGATAGGGGAGCGGGAGTGCCAGCAAAATGTAAAAACGCGTGCATATCTTTATTCTTTATTTTGAAGATTGTATCCGTAGCTTCATCACAGTTTTTTATGCTGTTAAGTATTTAAGCTGCAGGAAAAAAAATATTCATCAACTTTAAACGGGATTGGATGAAATTACACATCCATGAATCAATTTATAAAAAAAAACAATTTAAACAATTTTAGAACCATATTAATATAACATAACGCCACAGATCACTTCCCTCATTCGTTAAATTTTGTCAGTATTAAATTATAGATTTCCTTGACCTTTGTAAGCCAATTACAGTATTTGATTACAATGTAAATGCAAAACGTACTTGTTACACATCTTGTGCTCGTGTATCCAGGGCTGCAAGAGCACGTAAAACCGTTAACCCCGTCGATGCAAGAGGCATCATTTCGACACGGGTTAGAACTACACTCGTTGATATCTTTAAAAAAGACAAAAAAATTAATATTTGAGCAAACACATTGAATATATGATCGGCTACAATATTTAATTTCATCTATTAAATCATCAATCTAAAACGTGAACTCTGAAGTATAACAAAATATATATATTATTAGAGATAGAGAGGGAGGGTGGAAGTATCTGCACTGTTCAGGAACTACATATTTGTACTCTTTATTTTGAAGAGTGTATTCATAGCTTTATCAGAGTTATTAAGCTGTTAAGAAATTAAGCTACATATATTAATATTCCTTTAACTTGAAACGGGATTGGGTGACATTACAATCCATGAACCAAATTAAAACGAAAAAGCAACTTTTAAAACAATACAAATTGAAAATGATGCTACAGATCACTTCTCTCATTTATGAAAGTGTTCAATATTACATTATAGATTTTCTATACTTATTTTTAGCTAACTACAATATTTGATTTAAAATGCAAAACCTACTTGTTTCACATCGTGTGCCCGTAAATCCAGCAATGCAAGTGCACGTAAAGTCGTTGACCCCGTCGATACAAGAGGCATCATTTTGACACGGGTCAAAACTACATTCGTTGATATCTTTCAAAAATGCAAACAATCAAATATTTGAGTATAGACTTTAAATATATGATAGGCTACAATATATAATTTCGTCTATATCAATCCATCAACCTCTGAAGTATCACATAAATATATATAGAGAGAGAGAGAGGAAGTGGGAGTGTACGCCGAATTCAGGATCGTACATTTCTTTATTCTTTATTTTCTAGAGTGTATTCATAGCTTCATCAGAGAGTTTAAGTTGTTAAGTAATTAAGATTGAAACGGGATTGGATGCACACTCGTTGTTATATTACGCACGAATATATATGTATCATCATACAGTTGTTAATTAGTCGTCATAAAAACATAAATTTCTCACAAATGTATATCATATTAAAAACCCGTACATTTTTCGACATAAATTCACTACAGAGTTTACTATAAATAAGACCATTAACTCTTACTCTATCCTATATTCCTGTCTAAGTCAAATTATTTGTCATAATACTTGTTTCATCCCGTCTATACAGTCAAACCTGTCTACGGCGACCGCCCAAGGGAAACATGAAATGAGGTCTTTGTAGACAGGTGGTCTTTGTAGACAAGTGGTCACTAATGCAGGTTTGACTGTTTTTCGTATATTACAATCATCGTTTTCTTTATCACCATCATCATCACTAATCTTATATTTCGCATTATTTTACTTTAGTACTTATCAACAGATTAATGAAAATGCCTACTTTGGGTATTTTGACCTGGCCTAGAGTGAAGATTCAATAAATTGTTATCCTGCCAAGATCACAAAAAAACACATCGCTTACAGGAGGTGCCTCACACCATAAGGTTTTTTTTTAATGTCTGAATTTTAATACGAATTCAGAAATCTATAAATAAATAAATAAAAAGATAACTGAATATTACAAATTTAACAAAAAAATAATAACAGATTATTATAATCTGAAAGGTTATTAATCTTAATTTCTAATGTCTTAACACTAAATCTTCTTTGTAACGCGACACGAAAAATGTTTCGTTACTATAAAATGGAAGTAAGTATATTTTATTGTTTACCTGCAGTATAGGTGATGTGAAAATATCCTCGTGGTGGTGTGATAATGCTATCTGAGATGAAAGTGAGGAAGACTTGGTTGTTCGCCAATGTATAAGTCCTTTCGATCAAGGGCAAGCTCGTGAGGTTCCCGGTAATTGAGATAACGTTTGGGCCCTCGTAAATGACTTCTGGACCCTCGCCGAAGATGAGGAAGTCTTGATCTGGTTCGGTAACAAAGTCCTGCATTATCAGTGTGATTTTCTTCGCAGTCCAGATCTTCAATTGATAGTTGCACTCTAACCTAGCTCCGTAACCCTCAGGGTAAAATGGACTCGTAATATTCCCTGTACTGTCGTAATAGTTCCTACTGCACGAAGTGTTTCCTGGAATACAAAATCAAGACAAAGCGGAAATATACAAATATATATTACAAAGGGAGATTTGTCACTCAGTATATGTTATCAAGATTCGGAAACCTGAATAAAAATGTGGGGTTTCGAGAAATAAGAGTTACAGTTATGATGGTTTTGGCATATTATATACATAGACAATAAATGTTAAAGAATTTCATTTTTGTTTAATCCCTTTAGAGATATATGCCTACAAAGAATTTATACCTAGCTTATCTCATAACTAAGTAGTCATAATTTATGAGCCATCGAAATCTTTTTCATGGTAAAGACTGGCTCCTTTTCTGACAAATGTTACCTTATTCATAATTTGTTTTTCTACCACAGGCCAATTTGCACCAGGGTTGTTAAAAAAGTGTCGTCAAAATGCAATTTTGTCGAGTTCGGGTTGATGAACCGACTGTGTTTCAGGACATATGCCTTTATTTTGTTCTAGGATCCTGAAATCATGAAAATCATGAAATCCAAATAGTAAATCCTGCTTCATGCTTCAGTGTTTAAAGTGATCAAATTAAGCTCAACGTGTACAGGACATTAATTCACTATTGAGGATAACCTTAATTATATAATATAATTACATTAAACAGCCTATATTTCTCGTCTCATCATATCACAAAACTTGATTCTCACTTGTCCATTGCACCGTTCCACATGTTTAAGGTGTGTAAGGTGCATTAGGTACTTGTCTCGAATACTCTCTAAAAAAAATCGAGTGATCACGGACGTCACTCCTCTGGAGAGTGAAAATGTAGTGAAAATAGAGTGAACATTCACTCTTTTCTTCTTAGAGAGCACTCTAAAATCAATCGATTGTCACTTCTAAACAAGTGATCACGGATGTCACTCCCAAGAAAGTGAAAATAGAGTAAAAAAATTCACTCTTTTTTTAAAAGAATACCACATGAAAACTTGGAGGTTAACTAACCTCAAAGATTCACTAAATGCAAGAAGGAAAGTCATGACGTTAACTAACAAAGATATTGACAGTAGACTTTCATGAAAAAGAGAGGTGGGTACTAGGTATATCCCTAGTAAACAAAGAGAACATAAAGATTATTATTGATAGTAGTATTGCTATTATTATTTTTATTATTAGTAGTAGAAGTAATAGTAGTGTTACTATTAACAGTTTGAATAACATACGCTTATCAATACGCTTGTCAATAAGAAGCCAGTATGATTTCTCCAGGGTGTGGATTATATGCTGTTGCCAATTCCCAGGTAAAAATTAAACAGTTAGTGACCAGTTGATTCCAGTTAATAAAGTGATCTGGTTTCAATATGGAAATTGGTATAGTGAAATCAACTGGAATCAACTGGTACTGGTACCAGTTGGAAAACCTGTTGATTGCCAGTTAATTATTCAGTAGCGACTATCAAGCAACTGATAATCAATAATCAATGTTGTATGGCATCTGGCCACCAATTAAACCATTTTTCTTTAGACTCTAGCAATTGCCCCATTACAAAGATCATTTGAAGTGAATTACAGTTGAGTCTAATGTTGATTAAAGAATTTAGAGATTGTACATACATATATACAAAATTATACATGTTTTTGCTGGTTATTAATTACATACATCTTTATATCTATCAGTACGTCTTAAATTAGATGTAAAACATGATCAGACATATATAATATATATTTGTCAATAATTGATTAAGAAAATATAAATCACATAATTGATGTGCATTGTCACATTTGCTAGACAGATCATGATAATTATATTTTCTGTGAAATATGCAAATTAAGCATGAATATGCACAAGATACAACTAACTGGTTTTCAACTGGTATTTAACTGGTTTCAACTGGTTAATCAACTGGCAATCATCTATTGGTTTCAACTGGTAATTCAACTGGTAATCATCTACTGGTTTCAACTGGTACTTCAACTGGTAATCATCTATTGGTTTTCAACTGGCAAATCATCAAGCAGTCATCTACTGGTTTCAACTGGTAATTCAACTGGTAATCATCTACTGGTTTTCAACTGGTAAATCAACTGCCGTGGTAATCATCTACTGGTTTCAACTGGTAATTCAACTGGTAATCATCTATTGGTTTTCAACTGGTAATCATCTACTGGTTTTTCAACTGGTATCTATACTGGAAAGAACTGGTCTCAAATGGTCCACTCTGGTTTGATGGGTTTTAAACTGGAATCAACTGGCAGAAGTACCAGTAAGGCATACTGTTTTTAACTGGTATCAGCTGGTGTAACAATTTAATACCAGTATGGTTGTTTTCAACATGCCAGTAGAGTGAATGGGTTTAAACTGGGATATACTGGTGCATGTGAAGTTTACCAGTTGTATCAACTGGTTTCAACTGGTACCAGATAAATCCAGTTGAAACCAGTAGAATAAACCGGCACATATCCCAGTTCCGTCAACTGGAATCAACTGGTACCAGTTGATTCCAGTCGATACCAGTTGAAAATCCAACTGGTTTCAACTGTTTTTGTTTGCCCTTCGAAGGATTGCGGGTTATCATGATCCAAGATCCTTTGGTACATCACATTCCCTCGAGAAAAAAACAATCGGATTTCTTACCATTATTCTGTAATTCACAGTTCTGACCAGTGTAGGACTCAGGACAATAGCAGAAATAACCATAATCATCTTGGACACACGATGCTGACTGTTCACAAGGATTGGAAGAGCAGTCTGCAAATAACAAATTAGGATAGCTTTACCTGTATAGCATGCAGATACATCACTGTAGATTACAGAATCCGTGGTTAATCATGCGTCTGTATACATCGAAGTAATACAGTGGACTTTGCTTGAGCATTAGCCTGTATTAATGGTCAGTTAAATATCGATTTACCGCTACAACCCAAAAGAACTTTAAAAAACCTGTTGCTGATATTTGCCTAGTCCAGAATCTGGCCGATTTAATTTTGATCCTCAACCACACCTACGCTACCTCTCCCAGTGGCGGATCCAGGGGGGGGGGGGGGTGAAATTTTTTTAATTTTCGAGGACCAAACAAACAAAATTGCTCACTTACCTCCCCCCCCCCCCTCTCTCCCTCCCCCCCCCCTCCCCCCCCCCCCCCCCCCCCACTGAGCGACTTTTCGGCCGGCGCGATTTTCAAATTTTCGGGAGCAAAAAAAAAAGAAAATGAGATCATTACCCCCGGGAAAAAAAGATTCAAGTGACCTAGATTGGAAATCAGAAATTACGCCTACTAAATTTGAACGAAATCGGGCAAGAGAAAAGGACCTAGATAGGAATAACAAGCACTACATGCAAAACGAATTAGATTTCTGGCATAAGATCAAGAAGACGACAAAGAATAAGTTTGCAGAACGCGAACGGAAACAAATCGTAGTAGAATGTGGTGCATGCATTGTTTTACAATTCTCGGCATGTCCAAAATTCGACTTTCAATGGAAAAAAACTGGCGTATTAGTCTACAAAAAAACAAATCAATGCGACAGAAAATATCGGTAGCAAGTAATGCAGAGTAGTATTTGTATTGAGAAGGACTGTTGATAAACGGGCGTCTTTCTGGCATATTGGCATAGCGCCTATAGTGTAAAACGGACTTCAGGGGGGCAGTGCCAGTATTGAAGGACAACAGATCGAAAATCAAACAAAAAATCTGATAGATTTACGATCATGTAAGCAGACGACACTGGCATCTTCCTCATGGTAGCAGTTGTGGCTTTCGAAGCCGTTATGCGGACAGTCGAAAATATGTGTCTCATTGCCCCTGCAATCGACGTCATCCATCCAAATAGGACCACTGCCCTGGCCGAAGCGAGCGGAATGCGGGGCACTGAGGGAATCCTGATAGCCTAGACTTCTACAGACCACACGTGCGTCATAAATGCTCCAAGAGTCATCACAGACGGTCCCCCAAGATCCGTTGTAGAATACCTCTACCCTTCCTTCGTGTGCTCCGGTACCATTCACGAGACGAACTGTTAAGGAAAATAAAATCAGGGAATTTATTTCAACGCATAGGCGATGGAATTTTACAAAAAGACGGGGGCGGGGACAGTATTCCAAAAATATATATTATTACCATAAAAAGTAGAAGAATACGGAGAAGAAGACGACGTTCATTGTTAAATAATTGGTGCAATTCTAGTGTCATATTATCTTTGGGCAAATACGGTCCTAATTTAAAGTCTTATTCGCATTCAGAAGCCACTTTCGACATTACCACCTGACTACGTCAAAGGGCAATTCCCTGATATGCCTCTCGCACAACATAACTTTTATATTAATTTATCTCATCCGAAAATCTCTTTTGTACGGATTGAATAATGGTCCTCCTGGTATCACAAATATTAGTCATTGTCAAGTTAAGAGATTAATTATTTATGGATGACAATTGGAGGGGAAATATGGTTGTGTTGCTCGGAACACTTGGATTTCATATGAATAAGATAAATAACATGACGCCACAACCTAGACAATTCTAAAAAAAGGATGTCATGGTCCGAGTCATTTTACAGAGACTTACCAGAACTAGGTGCTTCAGTTGGAATCAGGCTAGTTGTGGAATCTTTAATATAAGTGAGAGAAAAAAGGATAGGCCTACATAAAAAATGGTGATGGATAAGTAAGAAAAGGGAGGCGAAGTGAGAATAGAAACTAAGGTCGGTTAATTTTAACTCCTGCAAAGTTCTACCATTCTCTGTTCAACGAAGGTCGGTTTTCTTAATCTCATTGGACCTTAGTGGAGCTAATGATACGGTCGTTCATGTTAATGACAAATACCGTATTTGGATTCATTCGAAAGGCCACTTCATCGTGGTCAGTTTGACGCCATTTTGACTTGCGTGCAATGTACTGCAAATAATGAACGGGCTGTTACGTAATGCATAGTTAATTAATTTGTGGGGGTAATAACTTTACGGTAACGTCATCTAATTTTGACAAGCTTGGCAGACCTGTTGTCACGTGTATGGATACATTTTACCAAATCAGAATTCCTCAATGAAATAATACTTTGTTTAAAAATAAACTTAACATCTATTATAAGTAGTATTACAAAACAATATTGCTATGATATATTTCACAAATATGAAGGAAATATGAAAAAGACCTGGAATGAAGTTATTAGTATATTTGGTTATAAGAAGCAAAATGTTAATCAATGTGAAATGTTCTCTGGTTTGAATTTTTTTTTCTTCGCGTGAACAGATTGTTGAGGAATTTCATTCATATTTGCCTGTATAGGTAAAAGAAAATAATCAATTTTCCATTCCATGAGTACATAAGAATTATTACAAATATCTCAGTTCACAACATATTGCCTCCATGTTTTTAAAGCCTACTTTCGTTTATGAATTAACGAAGATTTGTCCTTCGTTTAATCCATCTAAAGCAAGTGGTTGTGATGACATATCCCCTCGGGTAGTGAAAGAAGCAATCTTTTGTTGTGTGGAACCATTGTGTGACATATTCAATAATTCAATAAAGGGATAGTTGAGTTCTGTTTTCAGACCGCAAATGCCTTCAAAGTGCATGGTTATTGCTCTTATTCTTATCTATGACATTTATAATGCCCTTTTGGAACCTAAAATTGCTTTGTTGGTAATTTTAGACCCTTAACTGTGTAAAATTTAGCCAATACGATGATACCAATTCAGATTCACTTTAACAAAAATACGTTGACCGTTAATTAACCATTTAATTAAAAATAACAATACATGGGCCGGCTGGTTGTGCGTAATATAACCAACACGAAAATGCCAACAACGATTTTTTTTCTTCTTCAAATTATCTAATATTTGTGGTGGTACACAAGTGTTACAAAATGTTATATTTATGGATATTTCAGCCGTCTTTGAAACGGTTTTGATCAATCAAAGATTATTTTGTTATTTAAATTGGATGTTCTTTCAAATTTGACCCTCAGTTTTTCATTATCTCTAGAAAAACTCTTTTGTGTAGCGCCCTCTGCAACAGAACTCAACACTGGTGTGTTTCCAGATGCTTTTAAAATAGCAGAATTAGTGCCGTTAAATAAGAAAAAATGTAAACAAAATATAAATAATTATTGACCTGCTGCAATTTAACCTATATTTTCTGAATTGTTGGAAAGAATAATGTTTAATTGATTGTATAGTCAAATATGATATATTAATCAATGACAAATTTCGATTTAGGAAAGGTCATTCGACCGCTCATGGTGTCTTGAATATGTCAGATTATGTTATAAATACATAAGATAATGGTATTTTTTGTTAACGGTTATTTATGGATCTTTAGAAAGCATTTGACACCATCGTCTACGGCATTCTTTTGATCAATTGTTTTATTATGTCGTAAGAGGAGTAGCCTTAAACTGGTTCAGATCATATTTGATAGGTAAAAAGCAATATGTGGTGGTCAAAGGTGTCCGAGTCCAACTTCAAAGAACTATCATCATGATGTGGGGAACCGCAAGGGTCTATTCTGGGACCTCTCCTGATCTTGTTGTATGTTAATGATGTTGTTAACAGTTCTATTATCTTTCGGTTTCATTATTCGCCGACGACACCCTGGTTGTCATATCCCATACAAAAGCACAAAGACTGATTTCGCTGGTCAATGAAGAATTAAGTAAATTGCTTTTATGTTTTCAGAATAATAATTTATTTCTCAATCATGAAAAAACAAACTACATCATATTTCGTTCGAAGAACAGGAGAGCTCACAGAGACATTAATTTCATTTAGAGTCCTTCAACGTGTACATTTACTTTACTTTCTTGGTGTTACTGTAGACGAATTTCTGGACTGGAAGAGCCACATTAAAAATGTAACTTTGAAAGTATCTAAAAGCATTGGGGTATTATCAAAATAAAATTTACCATTCCGCAAGATGTGCTAATAGGGCCCTTTCGCAAACACGACGGAAGGCAAAGACGACCAATGTTGACGCGATCGAAAAAAAAACAATCCGCGCCTGCGCGAACCAGAGTTGTCTTCGTCTTGTTGATTTCCACGACCGTACGCGGCCATGACAGCGGTCGTTCCCCCAAACATGACGTAAGAGCTGTATCGCCTTAATTCTCCCGTCATGTTTGCTTCCGTCGTCTTTGCGAAAGCGCTCTAGTGTTATTATATACAACTCAATAGTATAACCCCACGGTATGTCAAAAGTTTTTTTTAATATCACAATTTGTCCTTTTCTTAATTCCATTGAATCTGCTTACACTTCACCTGAAGAAGTCAGAAGGTATGGACATTTTGCTGGGCCAAGCTTAAATGTCATGAAAACTGGTACTGGTACTCGTACTTGTCGTACGAGGTTTGTGCACTATCTCGTATAGCGTTGCCCTGATGTCGGCAAGGGTACGGTTGTCGCGATGGTTGCCCCTAAGCCACGACTTAGTGACGATAAGTACGTCAAGGCCAGTGTCAAAGATAAGGTCATAAATAATATTGGTCTATTATTCATAGATCTGGAATTCCAATGACCTATTCAAACTCTTCTCCTGCAGGAAGACATTTAGTGACAGAAGGAGGAGTCTAGTGAGTTGTATGAGTCCACCAGTATCCCGCATTGATATTCCACCAGAACATTGGTACATGTTTAGTCTGAATGAGTACAGGAATGTTGAACCTACGCCTCATTACCCCTCCTCGGCAGCCACGCTTAGTTCTCCGAGCGATTCCCAACTCTTTGAATAAACTCCATTCATGTGCACTATTAGGCTGCATTTCATTGTCAAGGTTCTGCCCTAGACACAAGAGCTCCTCACGGTAGTACATGTAAGTGCAGGGAACCATGTTAAAGGGCCACTCTAACCCAACAAACATAGCCTTTCAAAACATGTATACACCTCTACTTATTAATATTCCAGCCTCAGATTTTTCAGAAAATCTCTGAATTGATCCCAAATATTTTCATAACCATTCATTTTTCACAGTTCTCACTCATGCTGGGCTACGCCCCTCGCAAAAAGGTAAGACGATCACGTGGCTTGATGACGCATTTGACGTCACTGCGGGCATGTTCGATGTGATAATTTCATAATTTCACAATTAAGAATGACGAAATTGCCAGAAACGTACTGGGATTATCAATTGCATATTATTTTTCGGATAAAAGTCTTTTTTTCCTCAGTCGTCATTTTTAAAGCTAGATTCCAGAATTATTGACGTTTTTAAAAAAAAAATCATAGTCATGTTCGGAATCTCCGTCAAATTTTTTTGTTCATGTCTTGTTTTCATTTTTAGCCCGTTTTTGGTTAGAGCGGCCCTTTAAGAGACAGCGTAGACGGATGGGCTCCCACAGCAAGACTGTTATGCATAGGTACGTACAAACAGCAAACAATATGTTCACAATTTGATGTGAAAATATCGAAATGTGAAAATGCATGATTGCAAACACGAGTGATCACAAAAAGTACGTCAAAATTGTCACCGAACATCAAGAATAAATGTCACTAAGATCAACCAGTCAAATTTAATTACAAATTCTGCAAAATTAACAAATTTCAGATGAAAATCTGAAAACTGAAAACAGTGCGGCCTCTATAAAGGGTCGCACTCTGCAACTCTGCAACTTTAAAATAGTAAAAAACAAAGCATAGTTACACAAATATTACAACTGAATAAAGATTAGAGAAATTTACACAATCATCGACCCATTTAACTGCTCAATATGGAAGCCAAAATATGTATAAAAGCCTTAGCCGCAAGATCACTAAATGTTTTGAATGAAATAATCCACCCTGACCAACATGCATTTATAAAAGGGAGGACAATAAGTAATGCTATACGTAATATACATGATATTTTTCATTATTTAAATAATGAACAAAAGATCGTTTTTATTATATCGGTATACTTCCAGAAGGCATTAGATTCTGTTGGCCATGATTAAATGTACTGTGCTCCTAAACCGTTCGGTTTTGGGACTTGTCAAAACGTTATATTACGATATAGAAGGATGAATAAATTTGTAATTTGTATCTTTTTTTGAATAGTTTATGAAGAAAATACTCATTAAATATGAAGGTGCATATACTTATATCTAGACATATACACATATATATATATACACAAACATATACATAAACATATATTATATACATTATACATATACAAACCTATAAATAATGTATACATATACATCTCCAACAAAAATCGTCATCTACACGTACATAATTTACACACACATATATATATATATATATATATATATATATATATATATATATACATGCTTAGGAACACTACATGCCCGAGAGATGGGCATTAAAACTATTTCCCTTTTTTTTCTGTTTGTTGGTCTCGACGGCTTTCGGTCTCGAGGTTTGCTGTCTAGTGGGCTTCGGTTTCGTGAGCAGTGGTCTACTAATGCAGTACCAACTAATACCCACCATAACATTGTGTTTTGCCGATTTAACTTACCGTCTGCCTTTCTGCATAATTAACACATGTTTATTGATTTACCGATTGTTCTCCATATAACGGTGGTTCGGCTTGTTTAAATGAAGTACACAATGTCAACATAATTACAGACATATTAAGAATAAAAGGATCACCTAACTGCTGAGAAAGCATGCATGTGCTTGTAAGTAAGCAACCAGGGACAGAGACACTGCTCTACCGCTGAGCCACCGCGCCTGCTCGATATAAACATACATTTCGTATGAGGGTGTAAACAATAACAAATGTTGTAAACAAACAGGATATGTTTCATATGCTTACCTTGTGCCACAGCTAGTGATGCCAACAAGAACAGAATTACACAACCTAAAGTGAAGTTCATCTTGCTCGGCATTGTAGAATTAGCGATCCTTGTAAGATGATCCCCCTCAGTACAACTGCATTACAATAATGCGAAAAAAAGAAGACAGAAAGAAAAAGGGAAAGAAAGAAAATAAAAGGGTGTCACATCTTATGTCATGTTCCCGTTTTCGTGATATTGGTCGTAGTCACTCCAAAGACCATGTAAGCAGTCGAAGGAGTGTATATAGGTTCCTCGGTGGGGGGGGGGGGGGGGGTCCAAAGTCATTTCAGGAAATCCGTAGCCCTGCCAGACTCAATTACTAACCTGAATAAGCGGAGGCTAAAATCCAAACAACAATTTATTTATCCTTTTCACATTTGTTTGTTGTTTGTCTTCTTCTGCTTTGCATTGGCGTCCTCCGTCAATGCCTTGTATTCGTTCGTTCGTTCTTCGTGTTCTTCTCGTTCTTCTTTTTCTTGTTTTCCGTCTTCTTCTTCTTCTTCTTCTTCTTCTTCTTCTCCTTCTCCGTCTTCTTCTTCTCCGTCTTCTCCTTCTTCTTCTTCTTCTTCTTCTTCTCCATCTTCTTCTTCTTTTCCCCTTCTTATTCTCATTCTTCTCCTTCTTCATCTTCTTCTTCCCCTTTTCCTTCTCTTTCTTCTCCTACTTCTCCTTCTTCTTCTTCGTCTTATTCATTTTTTTTTTTTTTTTTTAATTCCATTCGCCTACTTTTATGAGTATGCATCATTATATGGCTGCATTAGGCGTTTAAAAAACTCTCAACTGCTTTTCGGATTTCCTTGCTTGTAATGAAATTGATATGTACAAACCTAATCTTAAGGCCCGGTCACACATAGACGAGGCACGACCTACGCATTGAAATTCGGAAAAATGAGGTTACTGCATCATTCAGCACGCTCATATTCGCTGTATATTCGCTGGACATGCGTTTGAAGCGCGCTAGGTATGCGATAGATGTGCACTAGGCGTTCGCTAGACTTCGGCCGCCGAACTTACCACGAATACACAGCGTGTGCTCCGCGTTTTTCTGGCATTGGTCTAGCGCTCTGCGCGTGGCTGGCGTCCTTTCGGCATTTACGTTCAAGCGTCGAGCTCCGTGCACATTTGTGAGCATGCTCAAAAAATCACGACGCATACGGCGAATGCATATCGTTGGTCAAGCGTGCTCGACGTACGGGTAACGAACGCAACGCACTGGCCAAAATTGCCAATGCGCGGGCCGTGCGTCCCCCGTGCGTCCCCTATGTGTGACCGGGCCATCATAGAGTAGAACAAAGTATGGGCAACACCTCCCCTATCTTTCCCCAGGAGTAAAGATACATACCATCAAAAGAGAACAGACGTATGACTTCGACTCTATCTTTTAAAGTGGTAGCTCATTTACCGTCCAATTAAGCAAGTTCCTAACGTGCTCACACCAACTTACACGTACACCTGCTGCAACTGCAACTTAACCGCTTCTGAATTGTACGCACCCACTCTTCGACCGACTCACAAAAAAGAGTTTTGAAAATGATAAATCCATCCTAAGTGTAAACATTTTCTATCAATTAGCACTGACAATGTCAAATAATATCATAACACATATTTATTGTGAATGTTCACGCCACCGTACACGCTATCGGCGGTTCCACCATTTCCTGATGAATGCCCTTTGGAAGCTAGCTTGGTGGGTGGCAAAAAACATTCGTTGATGGGAAAGAAAAAAACTTCAATTATCTTTGATCTTTAAAGTTAAAGATCAAAGATAATTGAAGTTTTTTTTATGTTACAGGCTAGAAATTTATGAACGTATTTTGTATTTTGTATTTGTTCATCATATAAAACACACAGTGCTTTCCGGGTCTCATCTCCTTTGCGTTTAACGTGTTTTCCTGACCCTTAAAGGGCAATCAATCCTTTGTACTAATTTTGGAGAAATAAGAGTAAAAAAGGGCAAAAGTTGGACATTAATCGTATCTAAAATCGGATCAAGATCGACTATACCTAGGTATTAAGTTAACCGAGTTCAGGCTCCCGTCACTACAAATGGCACCCCAAATCGGCCGCCCCGGGAAAACAATGCCACACACTCACACATCAGCACAATAGTTACTGCTACGTCAGACAAGCCCTACCATTGCACCGATGAAAGACCGCATGGCACCACCGTCCTGAAACATGCGACTGAGCGCCCCTAGCCATGACAAGGAGCCTAAAAACTCGCTATTGTGTTCATGAAAGTTTATGTTATCATGCATGTATGCATCAACCATGAAGCTACTACCACAGCAGTGCATTCTGTAATACACAGTTGGATGTTTCTTTTTCTTCAAAAGGG